CTGCCCCTGCCCCTGCCCCGCTCCCTGCCCCTGCCCCGGTCCCAGCCCCAGTCCCTGCCTCTGTCCCAGTCCCTGTCCCTGTCCCTGTCCCTGTCCCTGTCCCAGTCCGTTTGAACCCTGGCCGTTCGCTCGGACTGCAGCGCTGGTTCTGCAGCAAAGGTCAAACGGGGGAAGGGGCAGGACTGATGGGTGCAGGTTCCTGCAGACCTTACACAACTGGAGCACCGCAAAACCTACGTTGTGTTGCTGTCTGTGCTGATGTTTGGTAGAAAACCTAATTAATCTTGACTATTAATCTTGATCACACGCTTTTCCATCGTTTCAGCTGTATTGAAGTTGAGGGGAATCTGTAGCCAAGAAATGACCAATTCACCACATGTGGGAAACCAGCCTGGTTTTGGCCACAGGAACTCCGTGCCTTCGATATTGTCATTCTGGCATAGGAACGCTGACCTAAATTAGCCTAGCAGCCCCCACCCACATCTACAGGTGCCTGAAAAATAATCTCACTGCTTACATATTGTTTTCCTTCTAACAGCAAACACCCACGTATTTTTTCCAGAGCAGCGTAACTGCTCTATTGAGAATGTATTGGGAAGCCAAGCAGGTGATTGTCTGTGCTGTTTATTTTTATGTAAGTCTTTTATGTTGATGGGAGACTATACAAACAAAATGGAGATATTAGTAAAGTAATCTTAAAGTGTTCAACAGCAAACAGTAGGACTTATTATTTGGAGGACCAAGAGCTGTACTTAGGTTCTATTGAAATTGCCAGCTCTTGACAGGTTTTCTTAAGGGTGGAGAAAATAGTAAGACTTTTGATTAAAAACAGCTGAAAGTGTTACTTTAAACAGGAAACAATTGGTGCGTGGAATAAAGGGAACAATTTATTTTATTTTTTTTATTTAAAAGATTTAAATTATATATTGTACTAACAATGGGAAACCAGCAGCCTTGAAAAGAAGTTATTTCCAAGAGTCGTCTGCAACTGTCCTACAAACCGGCTCTAAGTGGTATTTAAATAGCTTTTAATACAAGCATTGTGTAAAAGTGTGTCTCAAAATGAGTTTATCCACAAATAACTCAGCTTTGTGGCAAAGGGAATAAAGGAAGGAGGAGTGGAGAGGGTACAAAAAGGGAAGATACAGTTTTTATTGGCTTTCGATACACAGGCAAATCTGCCGTCAGAAATAGTGACAGAATCCAGTCTTCATACCCTACAGGTTGTTATTTAATCTTTCTCAGGTTTATTAAGAGATGAGTACATGCCTAAGGACACTGTGTGGGAGGACACTGCCAGCTATAGGTTCTCTATAAAGCTCTGGGGCCTCAGACAGAGCTGTGGTAATGACAGAGAGGCAGCCTCAATCTAATTACTGCTCTTGGACTGAAACAACGCATTAAATGCAGACACATCCTCTGCTCAACACCAGACTTCCCTGTGCCTGTTACTGGTGTGGTGCTGGGAGGGCTTAGAACCCATCTGCCTCAGCGTTCTGAGCAGTTGCGGGGGTTGCTGCCTCCTAACCTACTGATAGACTCTTCCTCCACAGGTCGTCATGGAGCACTAGCATGTTCCCAAGAGGTTTGCTGAGGACATGCCTGCCCAGGGGTTTTGGCTCCATAGAAAAAGCTGTTCCTCTGGACTCTATGGAACATACACAGGCTTCGCCGGCAGTTAGGAATGAAACTAAGAGTGAGTTTCCATCTCTTTTGGTTATTTCTTCCTCTGTTCATTTCCATTTCCTCACTACTGCCCCAGCACTACTCTTCCAGTCCTGTATTTCAGTATCTCAAACTTTTTTAAGTCGTTGTGCTATCAGACAGTTTATCATCTCCACAGAGCTCTCAGTGCCCCAAATTTTCTTCATATCAAGAGGCA